GCTACCGTGGAAAAAGTAAGATCATGCTTTGAATTAAGACGAGTAAAATTAAATATTTGCTCAATACCAACTTTCCTTCTGCTGCGTCATGGACCACAGAGGCACATTGCGTCTCTGAAAATGTGTGGTGATTTTCTAAATGATACAACTTAATCTACATAAGAGCAAATAAGAGCAGTCCAAGGATTTCTTTTAAAACAAAAAACATTGTGACAAACTTTCATTTCATGCGACATGGACAAAAATACTCTTTGAAATATTTACTCTTTGACACAAAAGCACAGATCTTGATTTATAACATTTTTGACTAAATATCAAACGATATTTAGTCAAAATAATAACTTAGGCTAAATTTTATGCAAATCATTAATATTATACAGAAGTCTTGTAAGATACGATTTTAATAAAACTTTAAAGATTTGATTTAAACAATCTTTTCATTTTAAAAGATCTAAACTTTTAAGAGTATGCTTTTAAATGAATTTACAATAAATAAAGCTCTGAAAAGCAGACTAGCATTGCACACGCTGTGACATAAATGTGGCCCAGAGGCTTATCTGTCCTGTAACTCCTCCGTCTCTATGAGGGTGTGATGGTTCATCTCGAATATGCTGTTACAGTACAAAAATCGTTATGGCTATATTAATAAAAATTATACTTTAGGTCGCCGTTACAGTCAATCATTAGAGTAATCTTCTAAAAGATAAATAGAAGATACGAATGTATTCAAACTATAAAGATTTAATTTAAACAATTTTTAAAAGATCATATTCAAACTTTTACGATTATTCTTTGAAATAAATTCTTAAATCTAGACTAATGTCAAATAGCTACCATATGTAGAAACATGTTTAGATTTTATGTTTTCTTAGCAAAACAGGTGTGACAATGATGTGATACACCCCTTGTAAGATTTTGTGTAAGGCAGACACATCCTCGTGAAAGTGACTCTCATAATGAACACACCCACACAGAACATGTCTGCCGTGCGCTTGGTGTTTGAGAGAGAAAGAGGGAGAGGGGGAGAGAGAAAGAGAGAGAGAAATATTATTTTTAGATAGTTTATTTTTATATTTAATGTATATACTTTTAAAGAACAGCATGTTTTCAATGTTATAGTATGAAATATTATATTTGTAAATTAATAATTGCACATTTATAACCATTTCATTTATATAATTTTGAAGATCAGTGTTTTTCAACTATAGTTAGTGTTAAATATTATATTTGTAAATGACTAGATGTAAATTTTATAACCATTTAATTTATATAGAACATAATGTTTTTCAACTTTAGTGTGACATATATCATTTCATTTATTTTAATTTCATTTATTTATAAAGCACAACAGAAGCTGACCACTGTGCTGTACAAATGGAGAAGTAAAAAACAAACCACACACACAGTGCACTAATAACAAACTATAAAACACTAGGTTAGGGTTTAGAGAAACCAACGTTATGAATGAAATGCAAGAGTAAAAACATTAGACTGTAGCTTAGATTTAAATTCATGTACAGATGATGCGGACCTCAGAGATAAAGGAAGAAGACCATTCCATATCCTAGGACCGGCCGCTGAAAACGCACGATCCTCGCAACTTGAATCTTGGATATGGCAGTATAATGCTGTCTGAGGATCGCAACGATCTTGTTAATTTTTTCACATTTAAAAGATCTGACAGGTAGGATGGTGCAAGACCAGTCAAAGCCTTAAAACTAGCAACAAAATTTATATAACACACTGGCAACAATTTAGAGATAATAAAATCGTAAAAAAAAAGTAATGTGTGCTCTCGTTTAGAGTCTAAATAATCGTAGTCAGTATTCGGGGTTTGCTTTTCCAACAGAGGGGCCAAAAAACGATTGCTTCAGTCTTACTCTCATTCAAGTGCAGAAAATTCAAGGACATGCAGGACCGTACGTCAGATAAGCAGGCAAGCAAAGTTTCTAGGCCTTGCTTGTCATTATGTTTCAAAGGGAGATAGATTTGAGTGTCGCCTGCATTAAAATTAAAAGATACCGTGTGATTCCTAAAAATTGAGCCTAGTGGCATGTATAGTGAAAGTAATTATAATATATATATATATATATATATATATATATATATATATATAAATTGTCCTCAATTCCACAGTGTCTTCAGGAATGTGGAAGGTATCATGTAACACACACACACACACAGGCGCCCGGGCCCCCGTCTGACTTTGAGGTTTTCAGGATTCAGAGAGGTCTAAAGTAATTTATTGATATCAACTCTTTCTCACACACATAGGCAGAAGACTGTGTGACATAGTGACCTGGCTGTGAATCTGGGATCAATCTGGGATCTTTTTAACTTTAAATGTATGGACATTTTATTGTATTTTGAATTTTGGTTCTTTATCTGTACCCTGACCGTGAACTGCGAGGTACATCAAACCATCAGCTGCATTTCATGCTTGTCTCCCAACAGATGAAATAGCGTTCAACAGATTATAACTGGAAAATAAATGATTAGCAAAACACACTACCTGTTGTTTTGAAAGGAATTATAGTCTTGTTTATTTTAACTAAACATAAAAATCTGTGTAACTCACACAGAGACATAAATGCACCTATCTGCCTGCGTGATAGAGAGAATCACTCAATCTTTTTTATTTTATTTTAAATGAACTGAATGCTTTTCAACTTTAATTATTGTGAGATATGTAGCATTATTAGTAAAACTATTTTTCTCACTAACCCTGCGACACCTGGCAGGGAGGGGAATTCCATGACTTTATCTTTAATTCAACATTATCAAGGCTAGGCGGTCAATAGGTTAAAAAACTAACTGTCAAATCCAATTTGATCCCTTTAATATTATCTTTACAATTAAAAACAACTGTTAAAAATTACATTATCAAGGCTAGGTGGTCAATAGGTTAAAAAACTAACTGTCAAATCCAATTTGATCCCTTTAATCTTATCTTTACAATTAAAAACAAATGTTAAAAATGACATTATCAAGGCTAAGCGGTCAATAGGTCATAAAACTAACTGTCAAACCCATTTGATGCCTTTTGATCTTATCTCGCTAACCCAGATGTCTCTCTTTTTATCTCATTTTGATACTTTGTATCTCATTTTTGATACTTTTTATCTCATTTTGATACTTTTTATCACCTCTTATCTCCTTTGCTCTCGATTCAACCCTTTCATCCTATGCCAAAAGGGGCGTGGGAAAGGGGCGGGAAGGGGCGGGTCACCTGTCAATCAATCATCTTTTTGACATAAAGTGCATCCTATTACTACTTTGGACCAAGAGTGACACATTCTGCACTTGCAGTGTCTCTGAAAAATGTTTGCATCTCTGCTATATGAGTATTTTCAGTTCCGTGGTCAATGCGAATTCTTTGTGGAAATCCGTTATTCTCAGAAACAACAAAATAACCTGCAATTACTCGTGGGTCATTGTTCGTTTTTTATGCTTCAAGCCAGATCATTTTTCTGGAAAATCCATCAATGCATCCGTTTATACATATTCCGTAAGGTTTTAATTTGTCATACCCGTCAATATGCCAAAAATAATTTGGCCCGCGACTGTTATATACGCGTCTGCGTAGACGACCATGAGCAAGATCAACTCCTTGTCCATGATCTAACAGTCTTATCAACTGACGGACAGTTTCTCTGTCAGTAATAATTCCGGACAACCAACATTTCTGGTGCATCCGATCCATCGATAACCATGTTGCCGTCCCGATGTCTGAAGCTGCTGGTGTATAAAATGCGCCACTTCAGCCTCGTCCGTTTTATTGTGTCTCCGCCACAACTGATTCCTGCATAATGTTCTCTCAAGAGTCTGGAGACTAAGCTTAATGTTGTGTGATTCCTCCAATAAAATCATTTGTGAAATGATTAACTCTATTTGTGAAACCGAGGCGAAAATAATCCTCTATAATCTTTTCCATTCTAAATGCTATAAAATGATATGTTCCAGCGTCCCGTGTTTGACTTGAGTGGTGAGTGAAATGCGAGCAAAGTCAAAATTACGAGTTTATACCTCACAATTTTGACTTTTTATCTCACAATTCTGATTTTTTTTTTCTCGCAATTCTGACTTTTTATCTCACAATTCTGACTTTATAACTCGCAATTGCGACTTTATATCACGCAATTCTGACTTTATAACTCGCAATTGCGACTTTATATCACGCAATTCTGACTTTATGTCTCGCAATTCTGACTTTATAACTCGCATTTGCGACTTTATATCACGCAATTCTGACTTTTTATCTCACAATTCTGACTTTATAACTCGCAATTGCGACTTTATATCTCGCAATTCTGACTTTTTATCTCGCAATTGCGACTTTATATCACGCAATTCTGACTTTATATCTCGCAATTCTGACTTTATGTCACGCAATTCTGACTTTATATCTCGCAATTCTGACTTTATAACTCGCAATTGCGACTTTATATCATGCAATTCGGACTTTTTATCTCGCAATTGTGAGAAAAAAAGTCAGAATTGTGAGATAAAAAGTCGCAATTATTTATTTTATTTTTTTATTCAGTGGCGGAAACAAGCTTCCAAAATTGTGAGATAAAAAGTCGCAATTATTTATTTTATTTTTTTATTCAGTGGCGGAAACAAGCTTCCATACAAGCTTCCATAGAAACTTGTGGATTGTGTCTGGTCACTTTATATCTTATATCAGAATATTATATTACTGTTAACCTACAATGGATATTAAAATACGCCGAACCATGTGTCCTGTATCATAGCTACATGAATGACCTTTGCAGCAAAAAAAACCGCGTGAAAATCAGTTCAGTATTCAGTGAGATATGATTAATTTAATGCGCTGACAGCTCATTTCACCTGCCATTTAGATTGCACTGAGCGGAGCGGATGACCGGTTTAAGATGGCGGCTCCAATTCTCGTCCGTGCCAATAGACTTAGCGGTCGATAGGACGTCTACCTATATGATGTCTATGGTGTGTACGCCACATAGAGGTACGGTCCCTCCTCCAATGAGGGTTGCCAGTACTAGGCCAGCTAGTTTCCGCTTTCACTTTGTCTCCAATAACCACGGATTCAGGAGTTTTTCTAGCTTTGGTAAGTAGCTGAAGTATTTCTCTGAACTTTGCTGAAGGTTGTCCCTGCAAACACGACCCGTCAATTGTTTTTCAGCCACAGAACGTGTTCGAACAGTGTTTTGGGACAAGAGTAAGCAAGGAAGCTGGGCATTTGAACCCACTACAGTGTTCGTACAATTGTGATTCGGGCGCAAGATAAAGTTGCCATTTCCGCGTTCAAACAAGATGACTTCATTTTTTTAGAACATAATTACTCGCTGTTTAAAGATTTCACTCGCGAAAAGACTCGCGATGTAATGTTACCACCACAGAATTAAGTTCCGTAGCTATACACTGCTGAGGGGACCGCAGTCAAGCCAGCCGTGGTTTGAAAATACACAGTCAAGCCAGCCGCTAAAAAAATATTTGTGTGCGCCTATTACTATGAATACGGTAATTTCAGTCACAGCAGAGAAAGAACGCGCTTTAGAGCGCTTGAGTTGCCCAGATCGATCTATCTATCTATCTATCTATCTATCTATCTATCTATCTATCTATCTATCTATCTATCTATCTATCTATCTATCTATCTATCTATCTATCTATCTATCTATCTATCTATCTATCTATCTATCTATCTTTTCTTTATTTCTATCTCTATCTTTTCTTTCTTTCTTTCTTTTTCTTTCTTTCTTTCTTTCTTTCTTTCTTTCTTTCTTTCTTTCTTTCTTTCTTTCTATTTTTTTATTTCTATCTATATATTTATCTATCTTTTTATTCTTTCTTTCTTTCCATCTATCTTTCTCTCCATCTTTTTCTTTATTTCTATCCATATATTTTCTTTCTTTCTTTCTTTCTTTCTTTCTTTCTTTCTTTCTTTCTTTCTTTCTTTCTTTCTGAATTTCTTTCTTTCTTTCTTTCTTTCTTTCTGAATTCTAATGTATCTGATGAATGCCCTTTCTGTAAAATAAGGGAAACGATTTTTCACTGCTTTTTAGAATGTTCAAATTTCTTGATTGGACAAGCTAAATTAGGTATTTATATCTCAAGGAAAAAGATGTTAGAAGGTATAGGGCAAAAAGTTGAGATGGTTTTTTCTGTGAAAAGTCGGGTTCTGATTGATTTTTAAGTTTTATAAGTTGGTTAATGATTATGAAGGTTTTTTGCAAAGGTGGGGTAATGAAGCAATTTGCACAGTTGTGGAAGAAATTATGGTTTTTGCTTTAGTATTGGAATAAGTATTTTGGGGTGGAAGAAAGAATGATTTGTGACAGAAATGTGATTATTAATATTATTATAAAAGTTATGATGATATGAAGTTCTGAGGATCAAATAAAGTTGTTGTGAAAAACTCAAACTTTCTTTCTTTCTTTCTTTCTTTCTTTCTTTCTTTCTTTCTTTCTTTCTATCTGTCTGTCTGTCTGTCTGTCTGTCTGTCTGTCTGTCTATCTAATGTAAAGGCCTCATTTGTAATAAGAAAAAAACTAATGGCCAATTCTTATAGGGGACGTCTCATACAGTACATACACCTCATATCAAACCATTTTACTGCAGCATTTCGGAGAAATGTCCCATTATTCGACTTCAGAGGCCCATAAATACCTCATTTCTAATAAGTAGAAAAAACTAATGGCTAGGGCTGGGCGATATGACGATATATATTGTTACCGCAGTAAAAAACGTCAGTCGTAACAGATTTTTTTATTCCGTGTATACCAGTGTTGGGAGTAAAGTCAAGTCAAGTCACATTTATTTATATATTTATTATTATTATTATTATTTATATATTTATTTATATTTATTTATATATCAAAGCAGCTTCACACTGATAGCATAAAAGTAGCACAACACAGATCAACAACATTGCTAAACACTAAATAATCCCAACTGAGCAAGCTCAAAGCAAGCCAAAAGCAAGGCGACAGTGGCAAGGAACCAAACTCCATCAGATTGGATGACTTGGGAGAACCCAGGCTCAGTCGGGGGCCAGTTCTCCTCTGGCTTACATTCATATTGTTTAAATATAAATATTAAATATAAATATTGTTTATGAATAAAACGGCGCCATAACATATCGCAGGCGTTGAGTCGTCTCTTCACAGGCGTTGAGTCGTCCCATCACAGGCGTTGGGGCATCCGAAATCTCCGTGAGAGGCTGGACACAAAACTGGACCTGACGAACGCCATTTTTCTCGGGACAAGCGTCCCGAGATAACAGCAGAAAGGCAGATGGGAAATAATTAGCATAGCTGATGTTCATAATGATTTCCGTTATAACTCACAAACTCTCCGTAACCTGAACTCTCCGCAACCCAACCATACGCGCCGACCCGTTTGTCTAAAAGGCTGTCGAGCCCCACTGGTGCGTTAAGCAGTTTCAGTGGCAAACGGTTCCGTATGGCATAACAGACGACTAAAAGGTAAGCATTATGTGAATGCTTGACTAAAGAGAAGCGTCTTTAATCTAGTTTTAAACTGTGTCAGCGAGTCAGAGGCTCGGACCGTATCGGGAAGGCTATTCCAGAGTTTTGGAGCTAAATGCGAGAACGCCCTCCCTCCTTTACTGGACTTCGATATCCTAGGAATGACCAGAAGCCTTGAATTTAGTGATCTTAAGGAACGCGGTGGATTGTAGGGCGAAAGAAGGTCCGTTAAGTACATAGGAGCTAAACCATTTAGGGCAAATAGGTCAGTAGTAGTATTTTGTAGTTGATGCGGAACTTAATAGGTAACCAGTGTAGTGATGATAAAATCGGTGTTATATGATCATATTTTCTTGACCTAGTAAGAACTCTAGCAGCTGCATTTTGTACTAACTGTAGCTTGTTTATTGAGGATGCAGGACAACCAGCTAATAAAGCATTACAGTAATCTAGTCTCGAGGTCATGAATGCGTGAACTAATTTTTCAGCATCAGAAATAGATAGCATGTTACGCAGCTTAGCAATGTTTCTAAGGTGGAAAAAGGCTGTGCTTGTAACATATGAAATATGATTTTTGAACGACAAGTTGCGGTCTAGTATAACACCCAGGTCTTTTACTGTAGTGGATAAAGTAACAGGACATCCGTCTATATTAAAGTTGTATTGTGAGAGGTTTTGTGAGTAGTTTTTTGGACCAATAAGTAATACCTCCGTTTTATCTGAATTTAATAGCAGGAAATTACGCGTCATCCAGCATTTTATATATTTGAGACACCCTGTCATTTTAGATGAGTTAGTGTTTTCATCTGGTCGTGATGAAATATATAATTGAGTGTCGTCAGCATAACAGTGGAAATTAATTCCATGTTTTCTTATAATATTACCAAGTGGCAGCATATATATTGAGAATAGCAGAGGGCCTAAAACCGATCCTTGCGGTACTCCATAGTCTACTGACGTTATCTTTGATTTTTTCCCATTTAAACAGACAAAATGAGAACGGTCCGATAAGTACGATCTAAACCAGCTTAATGCCTGTCCCTGGACACCGGTGAAGTTTTGTTGTCGATCCAAGAGTATTTTATGATCTATAGTGTCGAACGCAGCGCTAAGATCAAGTAGGACTAGTATTGAGATACAGCCTTGGTCAGAAGCTAAAAGTAAATCATTTGTAATTTTAACTAGCGCAGTTTCTGTACTATGATGCGGTCTGAATCCTGACTGGAATTTTTCATAGATATCATTTTCTTGCAAAAAAGAGCACAATTGAGCGGACACTACTTTTTCAAGTATTTTGGACATAAATGGAAGATTTGAAATGGGTCTGTAATTTGCCAAGTTATTTGGATCTAATTGCGGTTTCCTAATGAGCGATTTTATTACAGCCAGCTTGTATATTTTTGGGACATGACCTAAAGTTAAAGACGAGTTAATAATATTGAGGAGAGGCTCTTCCACTGCAGGTAATAGTTCTTTCAGTAGTTTAGTGGGTATTGGATCTAATAAACATGTTGTTGGTTTAGATGCAATGATAAGTTTATTTAGCTCCTCCTGTCCTATCGTTGTAAAGCGGTGTAGTTGTTCTAGAGGGTCCATGATTGAAGCTGAATCATAAGACACCATAGAGGATTGTACATTTATAATTTTGTTTCGGATGCTTTCTATTTTCGCATTGAAGTAATTCATAAAATCATTACTACTAAACTGTAACGGTATATTTTGCTCTGGTGATGTCTGTTTATTTGTTAGTCTAGCCACGGTGTTAAATAGAAACCTTGGATTATTTTGGTTATTTTCGATTAGTTTGCGGAGATGCTCAGCCCTGGCTGTTTTTAGGGCCTTTTTATAACGTGACTAAATTAGTTTGTTTCCATTTACGCTCTAAGTTGCGAGTTTCTCTCTTGATAGCATGTGTAGCACTGTTGTACCATGGTGCTTTAATTTTCTCTCGAACCTTTTTTTAATCTAATTGGCGCAACAATATCTAATGTACTAGTAAGAATGGTGCTTAAACTGCTAGTCATTTCCTCTAATTCATCTGTTTGTTTGGGTTCACTTAGCAACTTAGATAGATCAGGTAAGCTATTTGAGAATCCATCTATAGTGGTTGGAAGGATTGTTCTGCCTGGTCTATAACGTGGTGCAACATGACATATTTCATCAGTACGTATTATGCACCATGTAATGATCAGTGACATCATCGCTTTGCGGTATAATATCTATATCAGTTGGATCTGTTCCATATGATATAATTAAATCTAGTGTATGATTTAGACGATGAGTGGGACCACTGACGTTTTGTTTGACCCCAAAGGAGTTTAATAAGTCTGTAAACGCAGCCCCTAAAGCATCATTTGTATTATCTACGTGTATGTTAAAATCTCCAGCAATTATTGCTTTATCGACATTTACCAATAGATCCGAGAGAAAGTCTGCAAACTCTTTTAGGAATTCAGCATATGGCCCTGGAGGTCTATATACAGTAGCCAATGCTAGAGATAATATGGATTTCCTTCTTACATCTAAGAGCGTAACATTTAGCACATGTACTTCAAATGAATTAAACCTGTGACCTGTTTTCTGAGTAATATTAAAAATATCTTTATGATTGTTGCAA